GAAGAAGAAGAAGAAGAAGAAGAAGAAGAAGAAGAAGAAGAAGCAATCACTGCAACAAGAATTTTATTTTCCTGACGTCGAGAATCCTTAATCATAGGTAACCGTAGGATGCTGTGAGATATGCGTACAAACGAATTTTCAAAGGAATGCGCCAAGCGAACTTCCAAGAAGGCGCCTGAGTCAAGCTGTATCAAACACCTTTTCAGCAGACATGGCCCATATACTGTTCTCGACTACTCCGATCCTATACGGAGAGGTCAAGGCCAAACTGTCAGCCAAAACTTTGTAACAGCGCGCAGTTATTATGGCTAAAGTCGCTCATCTCCTGTCTCGGCTACCAGCTCCCCTTAACGCTGATTGGATTAATGATTCAAAAGTTGCTCCCTTGCCAACATCGCTCCTGACAACCGCACTTCATTTTTTTCTACCAACGCGAAAAGTTTATTTAGTTTATCACCATATAAATGTACGTAGCTGAAGATTTATCGAAAGCAAGCGTATGCCAGCCAATTTATCGAGTAAACTTTCTCAGAATCCATGCGTTATGTTGGCGTAGACCTCTCATCACCGCAATATGCTGTATCACAGAATCGATAAAACAGGTGCCAGGCCTGAAAGTATCGTAAAATCAATTTAAATGCGTTTTTATTCTTGAACTGTGCTCATTATCGCATAAATTACTGCTAGTACATCAGTGAAAAACTGAAAAAAGTTATCAAAATAAACCCATAAATCAGCGAAATAATGATCCAATTTATAGTTCCGTAGCTTGAAGTTTCGCAAGCATGCCTAGGGTTCGCATTACCTATTAGTGAACATGTATATTTATGGACTTTGAAACAGATTTACCCATGAAATCTCTTTTTAGTGACCATTGTTGTGCTGGCAAAGGCAGTTTAAGTAATGCACTTCATATACCCTAGTGCGCAAAGAAATACTTTCTTTGGGAAAAGATAGAAGCTAATGAACTAACTAGCCCAAACAAATACTTGGCTAATAATGCATAACGATGGACTTTCCGCCTGATGTTTCTAAATCCCTCGCGCATCCTTAATCAGAAATATTAGCAGAAACTGTAATACAAAACAGGTATTTCATACACCGGAAGTTGTAGTATTTATAAGGTACCGTCGCTATGCTACCGCGTACTTATGACAATTAGTGCCCCACCCTATCGAGAATGGTTGCCGGCGTGCGGATACTGGCCTGCTGAACTTTCATCATCCGTGCTGGATTTGGGCGTGATGACTGTTCAGTCATTTGGCTGTCTGGCGCAAGCATTCGACCACGAGCTTTCTGATACTGTTTTCTGCTGTTGTCTCTGATGAAGAAACCGCGACGGATAGCGAAAAGTCAGGCGAGTAAGATTCTTGTCCTAGCGATCGTATCTTCTTAATTAGACGACGTTTTTGCCTGTCCTAAATCGCCATGGGATCCACAGTCTCTATTAAATTTGCTGCTGTTGACTTGTAGAATACGCCCCGGTTTATGAAGTCAACTTTGATTCAAAAGTCTGGGCCTCGATCGCCGAAGCTGCACGCATGGAACTCTGCGGTCTAAGTGTTCCTGAGCTTTCTCGCCTTCTTAGTCTTCGGGTAAGCCATAAGCAATGAACTTGCATTCGGGCATTTGAAAATTTTCTTTTCTCATGGAGAGTCAACAGAAATTCCAAAATATATTTTCGATTTGAAAAAAGCAGTAAGGTTGTGATATTAATTAGCGTTAAGCCTACCCCCATTATACTTCAGTCATGCCGGGATTCCGGCTTTTTAATGAGTTCGCTTCCGACTGCTTGGAAAATCAATACCCTGTAAAAATGGACTATTTATGTAGTATGCATCTCGCTCGTTGGTTTTAAATGCCCTTATTGATGTAAGTATATTGGATAGAACGTATGCACGAGACCTTTTTCTTGAATGTGTTTGGTAAAAATTTACGTTCTATTTAAATGTTGTACTTTAAGAAATTGAATTGTTCAGTTTTCAAAAGTGTCTAATGATGAGAGTTGAAGACCATGAAATGTCCATCTACAAAGCATCGGATCGCTTCATTTTTAAATGCTGCTTATAGGAAATCCAGCTTAACTGAGGTTTCTGCCATGCTATGCATAGGTATCGACTGAGAGAGGTTTACTTTTATTCTGCCCTTTCGGCTGCCCGTCAGCTTCCTCTGACAGGCTGCCTGTGAATCACATTGTCATAACTACTGCTGAGTAACTCACTTCTTCCGATTTCCTTTAATATACTTAGATTACAAATTACACCTACTGAAAGCACAACAGTAGCACGTTAATGAAACATAAATACGCACACTCACGCGACGAATTCAATATTCTGCCTCTTTCTTTTATTAGTGTGGTTATTATCAGAAGATTGTCCTCCAGCTTCAAGACATCGTGGATCGCTATGAATACGTCCGACAACATTTGACGCCAATAAAGGTAATCTGGTCTGTTATATACTACTTCCTCCATATGCCCTTGACAGATTTCCCAGAAAGATACTACAAAGCTCGCCAATACCGTGCGTACAAAACTGGTAATTAAGAAAGAGAGAGAGAGAGAGAGAGAGAGAGAATGAGTGAGTGAGTGAGTGGGTGAATGAATAAGATTGTCGACAAGGCAAGGGAGATTGGAATGACCATTTCTGGCATATTAGTCGTCGTCAGCCTGTCATGCCCAACCTCAAGTGGTACACCACCCGAGGCTGGAACTCGTGACCTTTTCGGTCAGATTCGAATGCTCTAACTATTGAGCCACGAGCTTGTTTTCTTGCCAGTTTAGGTCGGGAGATATTGACACTGTTTTGTGAACGGAACTCAATTCTCCCGCCCCGCCTTGAATCTCATTTGTCGGATCTTCACAGCAGTCATAGCGGCTAGTAGTCTAGACCGATAGTATCGCCGTGTGTAGTCTTAAATATGGTCTGCATCTTTATAAAATGAAGGACTTTTTCAATTTGTCTCTTCACAGTATCTTATCGCAAATAAAAGTCATAAATGCAGCTATTTTTGAAGCACCAGCTGACAAGGCTAGCTTTCTTCGTTTTAGCAGAGCACAAGCACAGCTGAGCGATTCATAAATCGGTAAAGTTTTGGCTGTTTCTTCTCTTTCAGGCCTCCCTTTTGGACGAAACCCTCAGAGATATCACAATATGGTTCGATAGGGGCGTGAATTACCTCAACTGGGACAGTCTTGCCATCGATGATTTTCTCGAACAGGCAGAGAAGGTAAGGTTTATTTGAAATCCGACGCAAGAAATTTCACGTTTTAGAAAATCAAATTACTGGAATATCAGCTAAAGGAGCTAGATAGGAACCGGGCTACCCTGAACAAGGTTTGTGCGACCATATCAGCCATGAAGCTGTTCAAACAAATCTCCAAGGAGTACATTGTTTCAGCCAAGGTAAGGAACACTGAAGCCAAACCACTTTTTTCCTTTACGTTATGATTCTGTTCCCGCATTTGCAGCAGAAGATTATCAAAACGTTTTATTTTACATGCTAGGAGTACATGGACTATGCAGAAAGTACGCGCGAAACGGACATGGAAGAACTAGCCACTACAGTGCAGAGCATGTTGAAAAACTCCCTCAGCAAACTTGAGGAAGCACTCTACGATACAAATACAAACCGTTGCAAGAAGATGGCGGTCGTCTATCAGATGTGTGAGCAGCTCATACTGGAAGCGTTAGTGAACGTGAGTAGATTCCTTTCAAACAACTTACTAATATTTTGCTTTTTAAATTCTTAATAGGGGATTCTGATAGATTTGAATAATTCATTTGACCCAGTTAGGACAAACTCGGTGGCCCTATCAGAAGCCGTGACTCTACTAACATTTGGGCAAATTTATCCGTCCAACCTACTGCTGTGTGTGGAATCCACCCACCCGATGACTGCTCGGCAACAGTAGTTTTATAGTGCACCTCAGTAATCCCTGGTCCCAGCATGTTGTCCTACGGAACGGTGGTTATGTGGTTTTATGGGTGGGGAATTAGGAAAGGCAGTGGAATATGATTTAATAACTGCTATGTGCATTTTATTTTATTGTATTTAGAAATGTTATTGATTTATGTCTGCAGATTTTACTAATCTGTTTTATCGTG